GACGACAACGAGACGACGACACGCGACAACGACAACGCGACAACGACGACACGTGAGGACAACGACAACGACAACGCGACGACGACAACACGTGAGGACAACGACAACGACAACGCGACGACGACACGCGACGTCGACAACGTGAGTCCNCACCACACTCTCCCCACTCCATCGGTCCCCCTTTCCACCACACACTCTCCTCACCACTCTTCCCGCCCCTCCCTCTACCACACACTCTCCCCATCACTCCCTCTGTGTCTCTACCCACCCCTTTCCTTCTCCATTGCCATGTCCCTTGCTCCTTCCTTGTCCCTACCCCCCCTCCTTGTCCCTACTACCTTTCCTTGTCCCTCTCCCCCTCCTTTAATATTACGTAGTAAAATACATGTTATGTCCTTATTAAATACATTATAATTTGACCTATGAACTTATTGCTTCACTAGATGTGGGTTCTATAAGGTACTAAGTTATCAGGATAAGCTTGGAGTTGAATAAATACAGATTCAGTCACATGATAAAAAGCTGATCAGAATATGGGGGTAAATTTACATGGTTTTTCAACCTTACTCTGTCCAGTCCTATTCCAGTGGAATTCCTGTGGATTCCGGTCCCATTCCTGTGGAATCCTGTTCCATTCCTGTGGAATCCTGTGGATTCCTGTGGATTCCTGTGGATTCCTGCAGGAATGGGAGGGGCACTGTAAAGTACTGTCCGATCGGCGTGGCCCTGGCGCTTTGCATGCGTGGGTCGGTTTGGTGGGCCAAGTTGGACAGGTGCCATAGACTGCGATGGCAGAGACTGCAGTGGCACGTTGTCGTCATTGGTCATGATGGGAAAAGCGAGCAATCGCGGTGATGACAATGGTGAGGTGGGTGGGGTAGAAAGAGGCGAGGATGCGGAGGAGGGAGGGAGAGAGTGCTCGGGAGAGGTAAGAGGTGAAGAGCCGAACAAATACATAAAACCCTCCTCAAGCTGGATGCTGTCGATGAGGAGTTTCGAGAAGCAGAATTGGTCATGGGGCAGTAGTACCGTCATCTTGAATGACATCAGGCCTGTAAAAAAGGTCAACGGTCTACCGAATGCTCAACGGAAAAAAGGCGCAGGGAAAAAAAAATTGCAGAATCAAGTGTATTCCCCGGGCGCGGAGTATTCACTGTCATCCACAAGGACACCCAGTCCTGAGTGGATTCCCTGGGCTCAGAGTATTCACTAGGAGTGGGTGGGGAAGGGGGCAAAAGGTACAAATGAGGCGCTCACCAGATTAACGGAACGTCTGGACACGTTGAAACATGTTATAAGTTGAGGATGGGGGCTGAAGGGAAGTGGCCAAAATTTGGAGAGTTCAACAAAAAACACGGTATGTGTATTTCACATGATTTGTCATGTGAATGTCACAGTCACTATAATCAGAGTACGTTCCAAGTACATACTGAGAAAATGTCCAATACCGCTCGTTTCAATCGTGGCAGAAACGCCAATGGAAGTCGCCCTTCCAAGCGCTGACAGACAGG